CGCGCAGCTGGAGGGAGTGGTGGCGGCGAACCCGGTGGTCCTGGGGCATTCGTAGCTTTGGGCTGTTAGAGATGGGAGCCCAGGACTGTAGCCTCAAGGCCGCCAAGAGGCAACCCAGTAGCAGCTGGCTCCACACGGAGGCTGTAACCTAGTTGAGGGGAAAGCAGAATACAAAGCATCACTAGAGGCCTGAGTTCTGGCATTGAGTTCTGTGAACTGCCCTTTGGTTAGAGGGCTTTGTGGTGGATATCAGGCTCTAGGGTCGCCATGGTTCACAACAGAAGGGAAGGCACGGAATTTCTTAACAACGAAAACACGCAGCATCTCCGTGCAGTCTCCGTCAGTCAGCTTCTATGCCTAGAATCTTTGGGAACCCGCCACACTTCTAAATCTCAATTACTTTTCCTATGTCCTGTCCATGTAGAAGTTCTCAAAAAGTTTACTCTCTCCCCTAGGCCTGGTCTCTCCACCAAGCCATTTCCAATCCCTGCTGGGCCACAGCTTCGGAGTTTCTCGGGTGTGATAGAGGCAGCCTGAACAGAGAGGTGACCGTTTCACTGAAACTTGGGAGAATGTGAGGGAATCAAAACTGAGCAACAAGTGTCTACTGGCCTCAGCTGTGCCCCGACACACATAACTTACAAGTAAACATCACACACAGCTCTTCCACTCCACCCACCCCTAGGCAGGTTGTAAAAAGATATATGATGTGCTAAACCATTTAGATATCTTCCCAGACGTAGTCCTTGGTTCTAGGAGGTAGGCTTCAGGCCTCTCCTGGCCTACATTGCAGACCACGGACCCAGGGGTATCAGCGGCAACCAGAGTACTTTTCTGGCTCCGACGCAGTCAAGCCCTCAGGTTCCCCCAGGGTGACTGTGAGCCTCCAGGCAGTGATTAAAGCCCAAGCCTCGGAAGTCCTGCTTATCTTCGAGCACACGCAGAGGCAATAAGCTATCTTCCCTGGGTAGTGCACTGGGCTGCGCAGCTCCTTGGGCCCGTCGTGGTCTTCTCCACATCCCAGTAGTGCTGGTCCGGGAGAGGGAAGAGCAAAACTTTGCTTCAACATTTTTATTTATTTATTTTTTTAACCCAAAGAAAACTTAAGACCCACAACATTAAAAATGAATGTATTTAACCAAATTAAACCCATTTATACAGAATCAATGGCCCAGGATCTTCAAGGGGTCCGCACACGAGGCCTTCCTCCTGCCCCAAATCAGACATGTCCTAACTGGCTTTTAGATCATCCCACCACAAGTCCTTGCTTGGTGCTGTAGAATTGTGGATGTGTCCTAGTTTTAATCCCGGATTATTAAGTGTTTGTGGGGGCACTGGTCACCTCCGCCCCAACTGCAAACATCCCAAATGGGTTATGAAACCCCAGTACCCCCCTCCCCTCTCGTACCTAAGAGATATCCCTAGATCACACTCCTGAACTCAAAATCAAAAGTTTTGGTTAATGGCAGCAATTGAGAAGTCATTCCAGGCACACCAGGTGACATTTCACATGCAAAACTCCGGACAAGCGAAGTGCGGCGGGGCGAGGTCCGATCCAGGAGCCTTCTTTCGCCTCCCTTCCAGAGAATTAATCCAATTAGTCTTTCTTCTGAGTTTCTCTTGTTATGTAAAAGGTTCCTTCCCCTCCCTGGGCGTGCAGAGGCCAGCGCTCCACCGGCCAATTCGAGTCTGTTCCCCTGGAGTAAGGTTGCGCTCGGCTAGAAACACGAAATCAGTTATTTCATTTTTAACGGGCTCAAACAACAGGCTCACAGCAGTTGCTGGAGCGAAGTCCGGAGCATCCAAGTTCAGAGGGGGCCGGCAAGCCGAAGCTACGGTCTCTGCTTTTTAAAGGGGAAATTCCTGCAAAGTGCCTGGGGCATGGGAGAACGGTTTTGCAGGGGCCGGGGCTCTAGTGGCCTGCTTTAGGCCCACTTCAGCGTGACCTGCGGAAACTCACCCCTTTGTTCCGCGCATCGAGCTGGTAATATATTCCTTGAGTTTTTCCAAAATACACTACAAGTGTGGGGCCAAGACAATGGTCCCGTCGGGGGAGGCCCCGGAGCCGGCGCGCGCCTCCTGGATCCTCGGGGCTCTCAGGTTTTTTAACAGGACAAAGCAAAGCAAAGCCCCTATAGGATGGGACTCTGGCGGCTTCGCCAAGCTCTGCCGGGCTGCTAAGGCAGCTGGTGCGCTCAGGATCCATCGACGTGCTGGCGCATAGGGACTGGCTTTACAGTTAGCACCAGCACACTCGACCCACTGGCCTCAAAGTGGGTTCTCGGGCCGGTTTGGCCCCCATCCACTCTCTACTGGGCCGCTGGAGGTGGCTACTTGTTCGTGGCTATTCCGTTATGGTTCCAGATACCCCTACATAGAGCCTCGCTGTTCAGCTGCTCCTTACTTAGAGATTCGAGAATGAACATGGAAAAGTGGATAGAATTTTCGGCCACCAAGAACTTGTGCAAAGTGGGGATGGGACAGGTTTGTCGCCTACGCGTCAAAAGGGCTGTTTCTTGTTAGACGGGATGGATAGTTCGTTAGAGAGGTGCAATCGCTCCAACTGGAAGCTTCTAACTCTACCCAGTTCCCCCACATCCTGCGCTTCCAAAACTCAGAACCGGGGCGTCAAAGATTCTCGAATTGTACCTAAATGTCTGGGGCCCAGTAGTAGGAAAACACTGCTCTGCAGGGGTGACCTGGTACTAGGTCCAGCCTACTTTCACTGGGTCCTAAGGTGAGATATCCTGGGGCCTTAGGTTTTTGCCCATGGGGTAAAGAGGCCCCAGAGAGACAGGCCTGTAACCCCCTGCATCTTCCCGGAGGAGAAGCTCTGGGGTAAGTAGAAGTAGCCTCCTTGTGCAGCCCGGATGGCTCAATGCAGGACTCAGCAAGAGATGTGAGCCTAGCGCTTATGATAAGCCAGTCTCACTCTTCCTAGACGTGCGGGCGTGTGCGAGCGCGTGCGTGTGCATGTGCGTGTGTGTGCATGTGCGCGCGCGTGTGCGTGCATGTGCGTGTGCCTCTGTGTGTGTGTGTGTAGCCCGGGAGGTGGACTTGCATGATCCCACTCTGGCCACCTGCTAGCATCTGAGCTTGGCAACAGAGTCGAGTGGGTATCGCATGGTCCACGGATCCCTGATACCCGGGATTGCAGTCTTGGGCCATGCGGCCCCCCAGTTCACAGGCCTGACTCCACAGGCCTGCGGGCTCGCTATTATCCCAGGCGGGCCGTGGATAGCGCACTTTCCCAGCGCGATACCCAGAGACCGGGAAAAGTTAGCCAGGGCTGCTGCGAGGCTCAGGCCTGGGATCTGAACAGCCACCGCCCCCAACCCCCTACCCCCAGTGCGTCGCCATGGAGACTGCTGGAAGTTGGTGGTGGAAAACACACCCGGCGCAAAGCAAAATATTATGAGTGCAGTTGGGGTGACTTCAGGGGGGCGGGGGACCCGAGGGCATGAGCGGGAGCCAGAGGCGGACAACAAAGGACCCAGAGCAAGGAGGGAGAGGAGTTTGTTTGGGGCCTCCCGGGCACTGTGTGAGTGCTGGACCGTCCTGCTTCCCAGAGGGGCCAAAGTCTCTAATTTCTCTCCAGCAGCTACACCTTTTCTCAGCCGGCTTGTGCAGCCTTGCTCCCACCCGGCCTCTCCGGGTCCTCTTCCAGCCTCCCTCCTGGTCCTGAGTGAGGAGCCAGCTGGGCAGTGTGCCCGCCTCCCCAAGAGCCACAGGCTAGCCAGCATAAAGGGTTTTGGCTTTTCTTCCCTACGACCTGTGGGTCGCCCAGGAGGAATTTTCTCATGGTGCTCCTCGCACTGGATCTGAAAAGGTGATGGACTCAGTACCTGACCAGACATCTAGGAGGTGGAGAGGGTATCCTATCTGGCAGTTCCCTACCCCTCACAGGCCTTCTTCATGTGGTCAAAGCACTTGAGTTACCATTCTGGTGCAGCCATTTGTAACTGACTTTAGGTCAACCAAGCCCTTCCCAGACTGTGTCTCCACCTGTGAAAAGATCCGCCAACAGCTCAGCCTGGGAATTCCCCAACAAGTTAGGCTCTCTTCCAGGCTTGGCTTTAAGACAGTATCCAGAAAGCAATACTTGAGGCTGTTGTGTTAGCCCTGTCTGAGCTATGCTGCGCAGAACTAGTCTAAACCACGCGGGAGTCAGTTGGGAATTTACTAGTCAAGAACCTTGGATAACTCATTTTAAAAGACCATCAACTTCCTTCCTCAGTGTCAGCCTGAGGTGTTTTCTTATGGACTCCCAACTCCCTGCCTCCTGGAAGGGTTTACCAAAGGGCACTAGATTGTACAGGAGCTGTATTCAGTGCCAACAGGGACTCTAGCAGAGGGCCTGACATATGTTGGAGAGGAACACACAAGCCCTTGTTCCAAAAATCGCTATCAAAGGAAAACCACGCTCTAGTTTGCTTTCTTGCATCTCCAACTCCCCTGATGACAGTTTGGGCAAAGGAGCCTTTTCCTTTGTTTGAGTCTGTTGACAAGTCCATAAATATGGGGTAGATATAAAGATGTCTATATCTGAGTATGGACTACCCTGTAATTCCAGCATTCTGGGGCCATAATCAAGAGGATGGCTGTGAGTCTGAGGCCATCCTGGGCTAAATAAAAAAAAAAAAAATACCCTGCCAGGGATACTTAACAAGACATTGTCTCCAAAAGAAACAAAATAGCTGTGTTCTTGCTAATATTGTGTTACTCAGTGACATACCTGTATCCGTGTGTCTGATGACACACACAGCATGCGACACCTACCAGATACTTTTGTCTGTGGAGTGGCTTCAGGGACACGGGTCCTCACAAGTTCTGCATGGGGGGGGCAGTGGGGAGGCGTGTTGCGAATGGTGGTCCCTTTCTGTCCACACTTGTTGCTGTGGTTCTAAGACAAGCTGCTGTGTTCTCCATGCTTGTTACTGGCAGAGCGGAGAAGATCTAAAGTGATGATGTCACAAACCAGAATGCTGGGAGGCCAGAGCTTCACTTCTCCCAAGCCCCCGACTGCCCATCCTACATGTTCTACAGGTCTCTTGGGACCCTCTTCGGCTGCCCCTCTAGGGGTCCCGAAACTCTTCAGGACGGAAAAGGTGGGCAAGATCTCTGCCATGGCTTCCACCCTCCCCCTTCTCCTTACAGGCTTGTGGTCAGATGAGGGTTTCAGTGAGACAGGCTGAACTAAGAGACTGGCTGTTGCCAGGTGAAAGTTTCATAGTTCTAAGGGTTTCACTCTGTCTCAGCTAGTTGGGTGGCAGACCCTGGGGACACCAAGGCCACAGACCCTGCTGTCAAGGATTTCAGAGTCTGTGTTGCAAGACAAACTGTGAATACATTGAGAGTGGCTGTAAGGGACATAGGGGTTGTCCTAGAATTCAGAGGCAAGGGTGATGTCAGGTGGCAACACCATAGCAGGCATGACTCCATTCGCAGCTTAAATCTCTGTGGAGTCCCCTGCGGGATGAAGCAGGTGAGGTTACTGCTGCTGGCGGCAGTAACAGGAAGGGCCAGGCGTGAGGGGCGGTTGCTCCGTCTCCTGGCCCACCATCTTGGTCAGCCTCCTGTGTAGTTTTACACGGAAGCAAAGGGTAAATTTTGCCTTTAGGTGGATCTGACACCCTCTTGGTGGGAGCAAAGTGGGTGAACGAGTAAGGAGAATCAGGGGCTGTTTGCTCTGGGTGAGGGAAAAGTATTGCGCAGTTGGTTGAGTTCTGCATGGAAGAGGAATTTAGATAATAGCTATAGCTGTACGATAGTGGCTGAACATTGGTCTCAATCACAGGACAGTCTTTCATTCATTCATTCATTCATTCATTCATTCATTCATTCAAGACAACCACGTCTCCCGTGTATCTGTCATTTTGTTAGATACAGTGTTTAGCTGCTTCTCTAGAGCATAAATTTGAAACAAGTGAATGAATGAATGAATGGGAAAATCCAGCAAGGGAGAAACATGAAGGAAAACCCTGTCTGAACTAATGACAGTGCTCTCAAGCTAAAAGTAAGAGCGGCAGCCTACGGGCTTTAGACACAGCTGTGGCTGGTGACTTTCTGTGCCCCAGAAGCTGCCCTGGTAAGGGAAACAGTGCCTCTGCCTCATGGATTGGTTACACAGGGTCCACTGCTTTCTGCAAATACTAAGTGGAAACTTAAAAAAAAGTAAACAAAAAAATTAAAAAGGCCTAAGGTTAAAATAGCTTTCTTTACCGTACAGTTATTATTTTTCTTTATTGCTGTTAATCTCATACTGTGACTAATTTACACATTAAACTTTGGCATAGTTGTGCATGTAGAGGGAGCAGAAAAAGTACATACAGGTGCTGTCTGTGGTTCTGGGCTTACGCTGGAGTCTTGGAAGAGATCCCTAGTAGATGGGGGAGGGGCCTTCTGTATCCTTGGAAAAATACCTCATTTTGAGACAGAGTCTCACTGTGTAGTCCTCACTGGCCTACAATTCACTTTGTAGACCAAGTTGGCCTTGGATACAGAGATGCCCCTGCCTCTGCCTCCTGAGTTCTGAGAGATTAAAGATGCGTGCCATCAGGCCCTGCACTATTAATTGAATTTCAAAATGTACTTTTAATTTATTTTTTATTATTCTGGGGAGATGGGGTGTCCATGCACCACAGTGGATGTGCAAAGGCCAACGGACAATTCTTTGGGTGTTTCTGGTCTCTTTCCATTTTTTTTATAAGTGTTCTGGGGATCTAACTCAGGTCATCAGACTCATATGGATGGCACCTTTATCAATTGAACTGTCTCCTTGCCAGCCCTGAAATACCTGTGTATGTTATTATCCACTCTGTTTTAAGCAATGACAGTCCATCCATCCAGGGGACAAAGGCATGACGAGAGGGTGGCAGAGGGTATTGCAGACAACCTATAGTAATCAATTGTTTGTCTCTGAGTGCCAGGCCATTCAAAAATGATTTCAACTCTTTTTTTATTTTTTTATGAAGAAGATGGTGATGGGAAGAATTAGCCAGTGAAGCATATACCATTTTAGCCTAAGCAAAGAATGCTTTTTCTCATCCCAAATGTTATAACCTTTCAAACCATGGAGGTAAACTTTTAATTTACTGCTGAAAAAGGTAGAGATATAAGGGAAGGATTCATGTCTTTTCTATGGATAAGAAGTGCACTTTTGTCTTTGGAATTCATTTGAAGTTTAGTTGGCATGGCTTCATCTCTGACAATGCCCTAGCTGCATTTGTAGAGACCACAGAAAAAGTCAGCCAGGAAAACATGGGCTATTAAACAAGGTGATGACACTTTCGGTCTTTAGGTAACTTTAAATAAACAGTATGTATCAGGCCCATTGTCACAGATATGCGTTAAAATGAGATGTCAGGTATATAACAGGACTTAGTGGGAAGAGTATGGGATTTGGAGCCTCTGGATAGACCGAAGTTTAAATCCTTGTCAGAGAGTTTCTAACGATGACATACCTTCTCCAAGCCCCCGTGTCTTCATTTGTAAAGCTGGCTTGTGCCTAGGGTTCCTATGAAAGTCCAAATAGTCAAACTACTCAGCCAATGCCAGACCCTGATATTATTAACCATGCCCTGGCCCACCTATGCTTAATTCTTGGTATCTAGTTGGAAAATTAGGACAGGATTCCTGGAAAGAGTTTAAACTGCCTCAATGGGCAGGGATGCTTGCTGGATACACATGGCCTCTATTGTGTTTTTCTTTATTAGAGAGGATATTTTTGATGAGAGGGATGGAAGCCAGGACCTCAGGCATGCTCTGCCATTGAGCTCTGTCTCGGGCCTGGTATAATATCAGGGGAGCTCCTTCTTTTCAGAAGGGCTTAGACTCAGGGATTCATTTCACCTTTACTTCCATACCTTTCCCACGACATAAAAAGGGCATTCCATGGTGGTGTTCGCTGTGATTTCATCCCTGTATCCATCCCTCAAGCTATAAAGGAAGTAGAAACCCCGTCGTTGTAGAGGCAACAGCTGCTGACTTGGGTTCAGGTCCTGAGAAAGAGATCTGGGGATGCTTGGAGGAGATGTACTCTGGACACTCTGCAGAAAGTCCCCAGTAACCCCCGTACTTTTCTGGTTCTGGAACGAGCCACCTCTGATCCAGTCTTGGTTCTCCTCTACCCTGCCCCCTCCGGCTTGCAGACCTCACTTGTTTAAAGACTAAATCATTTTGTGTGGCTTCCAGAAAGTCTAGTCCTTCAAAGAGATTTCATCAAGGAAAGAAAAGATTGACTTCTCTTGCCCTTCCTGCAATGTGTGTGTGTGATGCATCCCCAAGTGTGTGCGTATGTCTACATACCCTTGTAGGAGAGGCCTGAGGGAGGCCTTAGGTGTCCTGCTCTATCACTGTCTGTCTTCCTTGAGACAGGGTCTCTCCCTGGATCTCCATCTAGGATAGCAATTCACAAGCTCCAGCAGGCCTCAAGTCTCCACCTCACACAGCAATAGGGTTACAAGCTCATGGGTGGACACATTTATTGGGATTTGAACTCAGGTCCTTTGCTCATGCAGTAAGCACTCTTACCTTCTGAGCCACCTCCCCAGCATGCATATGCATGCAAATTAATTTACATATATTATATATTTAATACGGGAACAAAAGTGACCATTTGTTCTGTTTCTGTCTTTGTAATTTGATTTTTACCCAAATTGTGGGTTTTGCTGTTAAAAACAAGGGAGTCAGAAGGACAGGCAGATACAGAGAGATCATAAATAACATAAAAGAGTGAAATGCAGCCATACGCTTTCATCTGAATTTGATCCAAATTTAGGCACCCAGGAGAGCATTAACCCATGCTAGAAAGTTAGCTGGTTTCTGTTGTATTATATTTGACCATTAGAATAGGAATTAGTTTTTTTTTTTTTAAATTTCACCTATTTATAGATTTTTTAAAAATTATGTCTATGAATATTTTGCCTGCATGCATGTATGCTTTGCATTATGTGTATGCCTGGTGCCTGTGGAGTCAGAAGAGCGTATCAGATCCACAAACCTGTAGTCACAGGCAGTTGTGAGCCACCACACAGGCGCTGGGAATTGAAGGTGGGTCCTCTGTAAGAGCAGCCAGTGCTTTTAACTGCTGAGCCATCTCTCCAGACCCAGGAGCAGGGATTCTTTGAACTGTGAGCCTGGATTCTGCTGGTGCACAGCCAATGACTACTGAGCACAGAATCTGCAAACATTAATTCGAAGACACAAGAACGCTTTGGGCACAGGTTGCGGTAGTGAAGGTTAGTTAGTGCCGTAGGTCCTGCCTCCTAAACTAGCATTAGGTGCAGCCTAAGCAACACTGCCGAATCAGCAGGTCTGTACTTCATGTGAGTAGAAAACCACCACTTCATAAGCACTGATGCCCTGAGACCGACGTGGCGGGGAAAAGGCAGCATCAGTCCATGCCAGTGACTGGACTTTTGAGCTGACTTCCAGCAAGGTCATTGATGGAGAATAATTAGTACCTACTAATTATGCCTTCCAGCCAGTGTCTCATTTTGAGGCACAGATGTATCTTGTTGAGAAAATTGTGTCAGTTTGTCTTGAGTCTTACAGGTGCATCTGCCTTAGATGTTGGAAGGGGGATGTGTTTCCTTATGTTAGAATCACAGGATTAATAATTTCTAAAGTGGTCACAAGTGACTTGTTTTGAGTTCTGTGTTATGGTTTTTTTTTCAGGACTGTTAGGCTAAATGTGGGGTGTTGATGCACTCAACCTGTTTATAGCTTATGTGTTGAATCTAAATGTTCACAAGGAGCAAAGTTCCTTTGAGCAATTAGGATTTCATAGATCTCTAGAACTGGACGCGTGTTATAAATTCAAACTTCCTAACTATGGAAGTGATTGATCGAACATTTCCCCATTTACACTGTGGGTTCAGTTTTGCAGCAGTAATCTAGGCTGAAGGAAGAATTAGTGTCTGCATGAAGTCCTTTTGCTCCACAGGAAAAAGAAAAAGAAAACCAGATCAAACCATTTCATACTGTCCTTAGGTAATAAGTATTTGGGGCAAAATTTCTGTCTCTAAGCATTTTGCTTCTTTAGTCTTCTGTCAAATGCAAACCACAAAACACAAAACACAAAACAATTTCTTCAGAGAGCATGACT